AATAACTGCCTCTGACTGATACGTTATACAGAGGCAACCAATGACCCCTAAATCTTAGTGGCTTACAACAGCATAGATTTATTTCCTATTTAGACTATTTAGACCACATACTAGTGTCCAGATTCATTTCACCTTGAGATCCAGGCTAACAAAGCCATCCTTTAAAGACTGTATCGCCAGTCATCACGGTGACAAAAAAAAAAAAAAAGAGTATTTTAAAGCAAATGCTTCTTAACATTTCAACTCAGAAAACGATCATTTCATTGACTAGAGCAAACCACATATTCACAGCTGAGCTCTATGGGCAAGCATCAGAACACAGGAAGGGGCAGTGGAAGCGAGTGCAGGCGAATCAGGGTTACCAAAATATCTGTGTGTCCTCGTCTAGTCAGTGTTTTTTTAGCCTCTCTTTTTGTACCTGTAAGCATGAAAGTGAAAAGACTGATCCAGATGATTTCTAAAACACACAGTGTCTGGCAGGTAGCGTCTGGCATACTGGCACTCAACAAATGCTTGTTCTCTTTGTCCTTTCTTGCTTGGCCCCTGCCCTACCTCGAAGTTTTGGAGGTGACTTTTTGCTAATAATGTAAAAGCTTTAATCTGTTTCCGCACTGATTCAAAAAATTTATGGACTACATAATCGCCAAGCCTCTGGCAAATCTTCAGTGCTCTTGTTCGAAGAATTACATGTAGTGTCTTGGATGAAAGGACAACCAAGGAATTTCACAGTGATCTCCTTTGAAAAGGGTGAGTCTGGACTTCAAAGTTAAAAAAAATGCTGCAAGGTTTCAGAGCATCTGTGATTTATAGTTGATGCGGTGGCGGGCTAAATAATGCCAACCCCTACTAAGTATGTTCACTTCGTAATCCCTAGAAACTCTGAATGTTGCCTTCTGATGCAAATTCAGACTTTGTAGATATTAAATTAAGGATTCTGAGATGTGGATATAGTGTAAAATTATCTGCATGGGGCTCCAGAAAGGTCCCTAGAAGTGAGATGCAGGAACAGCTGAAATCAAGAGACCAGACTGAGGTGTTTCTGAGACTAAGACAGGAGCAGCCCCATAGAAGATGGGAGAAGCAACGAGACAGCCTCTTCAGGAGCCTCCAGCTCTGCTGACAACTGATTTTAGCATTTCAGACTCGATTTAGAATTTTGACCTCCAGAGCTACAAGAGAATAAATCTGTGTTATTTTAAGCCACTAAATTTGTTGTTAACAGTAACAGGAAACCAGTTCATATGCCAAGGGGAAGAAAAACTATTTGTGAACTTAAAGGTATTTACATTGTTGAAATCTTACCAAAAAAAATTTTTTAAAGATTTATTTTTTTATTTATACAAGCACTGGGTACAGTCAGAAGCGAGGGAGGGTTTGAGAATTCACCAGAGCCAGGGTGGGCAGCAGAGCAGGCAGAAGGACCGAAGTACACTGCTGAGGGGAGCAGCGGGCGGCAGGAGAGGTCTGCGCGCCATGTGGGACCCTCGCCCGGCGGCCGGGGAGCGGCCGGGGAGCGGCCGGGGATCGAACAGGCACTACAGAGGCTTCAGGCAGCTTCGCAACCCAGCGCTCAACCGCTGCGCAGCCGGGGAGGCCCATACAAAATTTTTTAGAAAGTAATGCTTCACGAAATGAAAGAATTTTTATAGTCATCGGTGACTTCTTGACTTTCTTAGCTTTTGCTTACTTTTTGAGTTCATGGTACAGTAAGAGCAGTAGAAACAGAAGAAACCAAAGTTTAACCTCTAATTCAATTGTAACCATGATTTTACATAATTTGTTTAACCTTTGAGTTTCATGTTTTCATTTCTTTATCCCCATGCTGACATTAATGAGTTCAAATATTAGAAAACTCCTGATAAAGGGAACTGCTGTCACACTGAGAAGAGACCCTGCTAGGGGACTCATATATAAAATCAACAAGCCCACAAAACATCTCACCAACCTGACCACAAATTCTCAGTCACCGTCCAACCCTGCGTCCTTGCTGCTGGTCTCCACCTCCCCAGAGCAGAAAAATATGTCCATAGCAACACACTCCTCATTTCACCACATCCAGCCATTCCCAGAAAATTCCCTAAAATGTAGTAAGAGGGGTGTGCAACCTGTTAGAATCCCATTGGGCCCACCTCATTATGTTTTGTAACCAATGAGGGTTAATTAATAAAATGCATATGTATTTAAATTTACTTGGTGAAAGAGTAAAACACACACACACACACACACACACACACACACACACACGTTTCTGTTCCCAGAAACATGCTGACCCCCAAATCAACCCATTTATAACAAGGATTTGAGCCGATGGTACTTCAACAAGAAAAAAACACCCTATTTAGCCATGTATTTTGTGTTCCATGTATTTTGTGTCACTTGATGAAATAAAACAAGCATGTCTCCCGGCTATTCTGTAGTTTGTCACTTGAACAACTATCTTCCCTTCTCCTTACTTTATGTGGGGTAAAAAAATGAGGAGGGTGGGAAAAGGAATGTTATCAAAACCAAAAGCTGACCATTACACATTCTGAACTTTCCTGTCTTGGGGAGGATAGAAATGGAACAGAAACCAAATGAAAGGGGCCAGATCCACTCCCATGAACATTCTCAAAAAAGTAGAGTTCCATTTAGTGGCTCAATACGAAATTCTGCACCCTTGAGCCCTTGGGCACTGTGCTCAGGTCCTGGGACAGTTGAGTGAGGAAGATTGTCTTTCTTGCCCTCAGGTTCCTCATACTCTAGCAGGTGAGACAGACAGTAAAGAAATGACTTCCATAGAAATGATTTCCACAGTCAGAGGTGAAATCTCTATGTGGCTATCTACAGCGAAGGAAGTAAGAACAAGCATTTTCCTGACTGATCTCTCTGTTTCCAATGCTTACCTACTTTAATTTCAAACACATCATAGTGGTTCGCAAAATCACTAACAGGAGAATGGTGAGATTTAATTTCTCGAAAGCAGATTTATATGAGATTCGTAACAGAGGCCTAACTAAAACTAAGTAACTTTAGCTAAAAGGCATCAAATAATATTAAGGGTCTGCCAACATGAAATTACCTTGAAAGTATAGTATTTGCGATCATTGTATAGTATCTTAGCCAAAACTAATACTTGGGCTCGGGTATGGAGACGCGCCGGGTTCTGCGGCTGCCAAGGTCTCAGGCCCGGCGGCCACGTGGCATGCCACCAATTAGAACGACTGAACATTCTGCTGCCAATATGGCAAATCATGTCTTTGCATTAAATCATAACCCTCTACTTTGCATTGGCAAGAAAAAATGAAGGAGCAAAAGAAAATTTGGGGTCAGTTCATTTTTGTACACATAGACATTTTTGCTAATCCAAACTGTGTTTTTCAAAGTTCCACTCATCAATCAGCCAATCCTCTGAACCCAAGCAATTTTTATTTTTTGCTCTCTCTCTTTCTTCATACGAGTACTCAGTGTACTCAACATCATGCTCCACAATAGTTTAAATCTTCTTGTGTAAAAACACTAAGCATTGTCTAAGGCTGTGAAGTGTACTTTGGAAACGAGTGACTGTAAATGACTCTGTATCAAGATTTAATGGTAAATGATTTTCCCATTCCTCTCACTATTTGTGGGAGCAAGTTTACTCCTTTTCATTGTTAAAAATAAGACTCTGGTGAACATTCCTTTACAAAGGTCTTTGCGTATCTTTCATCCTTATGATGTTTCTAGAAATGGAATTACAGGTCCACGAGTATGAATATACTTTGTCTCCTGCATGTGAGGAAGGACAGAATTCTTTCACAAGGGTAAAGCATTTTAAAAGAATCATTAAAAACAAAAACAGTGAATTTTAACTCCATTCCAACAGTCTGATGCCGCCGTCACCCTGTTTCCAGGGACAATGCAGCACAATACGGCACCAGACAGTTGAATGGTTGTTACTCCACACTCAGTTGTGTTGCTGTTACTCCTCAGGGTCATCTCAATGTTCCTTCACAGCTGGGTGAGCTGTTGTTGGATTCCCAGCACAAAGGCTCCCTCCTCTCACCCCAAAGAATCACCTAGAAGCGTCTCTACCCTCCCTCACCTGGTCTCCCAGACGTCCTGCTCCGGGATGTCCCCAGCAACCGCCACCTCTGTGCAGCCCCCTGTCTCTCAAAAAGCCTCAAATCTTTCAACTGAAGAGTCAATCTTTGGGAAAGGAAATATCATGAAGAGGTCAACAGGATTCTGGGCTGACTCCAGAAAGGATTATGGTACACAGGGCTTAGAATTTGGGAGGAGGCTGAGCTATTATGATTCAGTTTAATTGTGAACTTTACTATGTATGATATCTCTTGATCTTTTCCTTATAAGACCAGCTTGCTAAATATTTAAACACTTGTCTGTTCCAAAGCGTGGGGCTATCTGCACCATATAGAAGCATTTGCTGCATGGCATGCTGGATTGGGCATGCTAGGAGCTCTGCTGGAGCTGGCGCAGAACCTAGCAGACTCTGCTCCTCCTCGGATCACTGCGGTCCACCAGATTTTAGCTGTTACTCTGGAGTCCCTCTTTTCTATTAGGCAGTCCCCTGGCTCACACTCATCCTGAAGTCCTTGTTCTAGAGCTGTGAGTGCACCAATGCTGTCTTTAGCAGCACCTACCCCCTTCCGTAAAGTCTTCTCTCATTTTTCCGTACAGTCTTATCTCATTCTTTCTGTCCTTTTCCAGGAACTTAATAACTTCAAGGCCATTCTCTTCCCTTCCTCAGGAAACTCTTACCCCTCCAGTGATTACTTCATAAATATGTGCATTGAAACGTCCATGAATGGCAAGCAGTTGAAATGTAACTTCTTTTGCGGATATTTGCAATAAATTAATGCTTCAAAAATTAGGAGGGAAAACAAGTTCTAACCACAAGTCAGATTGGTCACGAGTCTACATATGCTGACTGGCATGCCTTTTATGCCAACTAGCTCACAAGATGAAGTTTTGTTGGTGACAGAACGCACAGCGACAACAGAATCCCAGCCGGAAGTACTCACACAATCGAACAAGCAATGAGAAATTTCCCTCCTCGCTCGCATCTCCCACACCAGGATAAAAGCGCAACTTCACGACTTCTTGCTGATTGACAGCTATTGGTCCCATCACCACCTGGCAGAGAAACACACATTAGCCTTCTTCCAAAATCAAACACACAGTATGTCTTCAGGTATGTCAGACCCACAAGTTGTTGAAAACTGTTCAATTTGAGTATCTTCTCAAATCAAGATGTCAATGTGGTACTTTGACCAAACTCTTCATAAATTCTGAAATGATAACTATGTTATGAATACCTGATTATAAATCTACCTGTTAAGTTGTTCTGTTTACCAAAAAAGTAAGTGTTGGAAGTGGGCACACCCTTCCTAGGAGCGCACATGACTCAATTCCTCACACTCATTAGGTGTTTGCACCAGTGTCACCTTCTCTGTAAAGCCGTCCCCAGCCCTTCCATCATAAATGTGATCCTCTAGGCCCCTTTCCTAAGCCCCTAGCAACCTAATTTCCTTCATTGGGTGTGCTACATTTTTGTGCATTGTACATTTACTTTTCTTTTTTTTTCTCTCTGCTCCTAAGGAATGTCACAGCATCAAAAGGGTGGGCTTTGCTTTGTTTGCTGCTGCAACAGCCCCTGCAACAATGTATGCACCGGACAGGCCCCACATTGGTAAAATAGCAGCTGCATAGATTAATGACATGAAATAATTTGTGAAAATATGGAGCCAGTGCCTAAATGTGGGTAGTGAGTTCAACAAATATTTATGGTCTTGGGAAAATAAATTTTTGACAAATACATATGGAAGTCATTAACATAACTAGAAAGCATGTCTGATACATTTAAAGCATATTATGTTATATATTTATCCAAGGACAAGTATCAGATAGCGTAAATTGGGACTTTTATGAAATATAAACATATCATGATAGAATGATATTATTAAAATATACTTTATTAAAATAGTCAAACTAACCCTTAAGAACTTTGATTATTCCATGAAAAGGCAAAAAAAAAATCACATTATTAGCTTTTTTATATTAATGGGCTATTTTCTTAACTACTCTCCAACAGTAACTATGGTACAATATTATTTTACTGGGGAGAGGAATAAACAACTGTTACAAATTATTAAATGTTCAATACTAATTAAAATCCATTAGTCAGAAAATGGCGATGCATTTCAAATTAGACAATTTAGTTCCACATAATAATTGTTAAAATATTTTATTTCATTTTCTGTAATCAAAGCAAACCAAATTAGCCATTCAGAAATTAAACATATTAAATTTCTGAGATTTACTGGGAGAAACAGATGAAACATCAAACATTTTTTCCTTTCAATTAAAAAATGACTGTATTTTGCATCATGCCCTTTAAAAGTTTTTTGAGTCTCATCCACACTTCAAAAAAAATTGTTTTTAACCCCATGGACATATTTAGAAGGGCTTAACTTCAAAATACATGGCAGATAACTAGTTCGATGAACACTGGGTCTTACCTCAAAGAATCACAATGACACTATAGTTCCAATATTGAAATAAAGCAAAAATAAGCTCAATTATATATACGCCTTCTAATTGTACCAACTAATAAGCGGCTGCACACTTTATACCAGAGTTTTAGCAGATTCCAAATCCATGCTTATTACAGTCAAGAAGAAATGCCACAAAGGTCACAGGAAATATTTTTTCCATGCAGGCCACTGGAAAGCACGTTAATGCAAAGCCCAGACACTGTGGGAGCAAGATGCTCCGAGGTGCAGCTGGAGCCCAGGAGCCCTGTTAGTTGTGCAGGCTGCAGCCGTGCACAAGTGCTCACAGCAGCAGTGACATGGTGCTAAGCATGTTTTAAGACTAGTCCCAGTCGAGCGGCATCTTATCCAACCAGAAACAATCCCACAATCCAGCTCTTTTTAAGTGATCATCCTTGTATCATAACAGATTAAGGTTGCAGCTACTTTGGATTATGTTTAATCTAACCTTTATCCATTCACATCTTCACCTGAAACTTACAAGGACCAAGAGTCAATTGCCAGGGCATAATTCACAATGACACTGATCTTTCCTTCCTAACTCTAATTATCTGGATTAAGAATAACACTTTTGAGTAATTATTTTCACATTGGATAAACATTAAGCTTTCCCGGATTTATCTGAGCTTTTTCCTAACATGAAATAGATCCAACCAGGCTTATAAGAACATAACTGACAGCAGTGACAGCTTAATCAAGGCAACCCTAAACAACTAAAACAATAAGGAAATGTTTATTTCCCATTGTTTAGAATATTCAGGAATCAGAAACTTTATAACTATAATGGGAAAAATAAAATCATAGACATTCAATAACATTTCTGTAAATTTTTCCCCCAATAATGATTCAATAATCCTCAAGTAAAGTTCAAACTCTGAAATGCTGAGAGCCACGTTGATGATATAAAATTGGCTCTTGTGATACCAGCCATGAAAGCGAAACATCTTTATTTTCATAGCCAATATAATGTCCTTAAAAAAAAAACCTCACAAACGGGACATTAGATTTAATGTGCTGAAATCATAATTAGGGCATAGAAACTCCTTGCTGTATGACTTCAGATGGCTATTTTTTGATCATTCTGCATTGTCCATCCATTGCACACGATCCTGAAAATTGCTATCACAAACAGGCTACAAAAATCTTCCAAGCTTGTCTTTGAAACTATCGAAGATCATATACAATTACACACTAAAATCACATCACAAAACCCAATTACACTTTGGCTTTGCAGATCCACAGATAACCTCTTAAAGAGCAAACTCCCTCACTGTGTCGACCTCTGACCTCCAGCTCTTTTTCCAATCTTCAGCAGCCGTGTTGTATGTTTCTTAGCGAGTCTGAGGAGCCCAAACTCAGAATGGTCGGAAAGGCCTGCCAGGCCTTTGAAGGATGACAAGTGTTCTGTCCATCATGAGTTTAAGGTTAAAGCTAATATTGCTAGTATTTTATTCTTGTTCTTTTCTACATCTTATATACTTTTCTGCCACTTGGTTATAACTAAACATTTTAAATGCATGAATCTCTCAGTACACTTCTCTCCCTTTTAATGATTTAATGATCCCTAGGGAGTATGGTTATCTAGTTTGGGGAGAAAAAAAAAAAAGAGGTCACTATTTCAATGAAATTGGAAAAAAATTACAGAAATGTAAAAATGTTCCTAACACATGCCATAGAAGGACTTAGGAGAGGAAGTCTAAGACAAGTGGGCTCTTACAGAAGCATCTCTCAGAAGCCCATGACTACACTTTTGCCAATCCAAGACTGGAGTATCATAATCATTGAGTAGGTCATTTTCCAGAGAACAGAGAAGGACTCTAGTTTTACACCAATTCTCCCTCACAGTTTCTGAAGTAAACCATCAAAAAGGAAAATGTGATCAATCGTTTCAGGCATCTTGCAAGGGTGAATAAGCAACATCTAAAATAATAAAGAAAAAGAGACAAAATAAATCATCATCTAATTCCAAATGTGAAAGAGCTCAAAAACCTGCTGACTCTCCTTCAGATTTGGGGGGGTTGTGGCTTTAGTTCCCGGTCAGCGTGACCTTAGGTAGGAGCGATCGTGGCACAACTGCTCCTTGGGAATGCCATGCACGTGGCAGTCATCCGCTCCAATTCCCAAGCCTTACCCTCTGTAGATCGTATTAACAAAAGGGCAAGGCCTGTTGAAATGATTATCTCTACCCTCCCAAGTGCTCAGGCCAAGTGAGCAAATTAGCTAAATCAAAGACCCTCTTTTGCAACTGTCTTCCTCCCCAATGAAACATTTCAGTTTTGTAAGACTGTAGCCCAGACATGGACCAAGCACAGAACCCGGGGCATCTTCAGGCAGAACCTGGGGCATCTCCAGCAACAGACCATTTCCTAATCCAGTCCTTGGAGACACTGCTTTGACACATAAGATACCCTTCTACTCACAACCTCAAAGGGGACGGGATGAGGAAGGAGACTAATGCTGCCTCAAATATGTAGTGTTGGCAAGAACCACTGAGAATTTTGAGAAATGATGCCATAGAGGAACAATATAGTAGAGAACAAAGGATAACACAGAATTAACACGATGAAGATGAAGTGAACTTCCTGAGATGATTACAGACATGAGGGAACATAAACACCGGAGTTCATATGTGAACACTGTCAGATGGGGGGAGGAAACATGAAATGTAAGTACTATTTCCCCACGAAAATGATTTATTCCATTTCTATTTCAAAGGACTTTCCTTCAAATTTGAATGCATGAATACATACCCATCTGTCACATGAGGTTAGCTGGTCTGCTCTGTGGGTCCGGGAGATGAATTCTGCATGTTCATTTATAATGATTAGTCAAATGACTCCAACTCTGAAAGCATTCAGAAAACGAGAACTAAACTGAGCTGCATTACGTCTAATCACCAGTACCCAAAATAACATGTCCATACTCTAAACACATCAAGGGTCCCTACATAATCTCTCCAGGACGCTTTTGATGGAGAAAGAACACAATTCCCTAGTGAGTGTGCATTTCTAACAACCACGATGGGTGAAAGAGAAGCAACCAAAGACGTGGGCATGATTATTGAAATCTGAAAAGACTAACATGTATGCCAGTGTCTGAAAATAATCTGACACTGGAATTATAATATACAAGACAAAAACTCGAGAAAGAGAATTAAAAATGAATTAGGTGTTTGGTGGAAGAAGGTGTGAAATCTCCAACTGCTGACTGTGCTTTATAAACATTTACATTATCCCAGAGCGTTCATGCTGACCGACTTCCCGCACACTATATAATTTTACCATTGTTGTAAAAGTGGCCTTACTCGTACAAGTGTTGTACAGTAGTGTGAGCCATGTGTTCTTGACAACCTGGACAAGTCCTTCTTGACAGTGCCTAAAGAGAGGGTGGGCTACAAGACAGGCCCAGATGGTTTTTAGGCCAAGGTTAGAAAAAGTGATATAATTTATTTGGTGCTAGTTGAGATGTCCTAAGTGTTCAGTTTCAACTTCTACCTAATCCATCGGTTCCACCTTTTTTATGTCTACTTTTTTAAGCAAGTCTACCAGGACCTGGAGCTGTTTGTCTAGTCTTCTGAAAACGGATCAGAAATCTGCTAGGGAAATAGATCCTTCTCTAGAAGACTCTACACAGAGATGTTCACAAGGTTCCTAAGTAACATCCCTAAGCAGCCTTCCTGGAGTTGCCTGAACATCCTCGGTGGTTACTAGAAATACAAAGAATCGTTCCTCTCCCAAATTTTCAAGTGGCTGTTCAGGACATTCACACATTCAGAGATAGGTGACTAGAAAACAATATCCAGAAATTGTCCATAAATTTAAACAGAGGAACCTAGAGCTGTGAGGGTGGTTATTCCAGGTTAACTCAATGTCATTTGCACAACATATGGTCTGATTTGGTTGGATTCGACTTTGCTTGGTTTGGCTGGATATCCTTGCTTCGGGAGAGGGAAGCGGACAACACTGGGAAGAGGTGCTGTTGTGAGTCAAACAATCTGTCCAAGTCCTGAGGATCCAAGGACCCCATGGATGAGCAGAATCAGAAGACAACCTACAAGTCTCCAGCATGCTTCCATCTGAAAAACACAAGCACTCAAAGAGCCAGAGTCACAGGCAGTCAACATTGGCGCTCAACAGAGGGAGGAAGGACTGGAGAGCACTGCGTGAAATAACTGGAATCGCACATGTGTTTTTTTTTTCTTTTCAAATTTCACTGATTTGCCAGTTGTTCACATAACTAAGTAATTTTAGGATTACAACACCCCCTCCGTATGTGCACATATTTCACTCACCCTCCACCCGAGCTCCGGGGCCAACACCCCATCACCCCTCCTCGGCCTTCCTCTCACGCTGCCCCCCACTCACCCTCTGGTAAGCACTACACTCTTCACAGATTCTGAGTTACTTTTGTTATGCTTTGCCAACTGGTTTTCTCTGGTTACTTATGTGAATGAGTGAATCCACTGGGTGATTTTCTTTTGATTTCTGACTTCACTTAGCATCATCACCTCAATTTCCATCCATGTAATTGTCACAAAAGTCACTATTTCATCTTTCTGAATAGCTGAGTAATAAGCTGGAATCTCACTTAACTAATACCAGCGAAACAGTTTGTCATTGAGCCCAATTCCTAAGCACATTTTTTAAGAGTTAAGAAGTATAGGAACATGTACAGAAATCACACAGGGAGATAAGATGTGAGCACTAAGGTCCACCAGCCATATGACAGCATTAAGAGTACTATTAAGGGTGGGCCTCCTAGGTGGCACAAGGGTTAAAGTCTCAGCACTATCAAGCTATTGCAGCAGCACAAGTTTGATCCAGGGCCAGGGGGCTGACCCACATGGCACAACAGACCTCTCCTGTCTCACCCTCAGCAGTATATTTCAGTAGATCCGCTTGTTCTGCTCCCCCCTCTGTCTCTAGTGAATTCTCTCATCCTCTGCACCTCAGGCCTACACCCCAGTTCTTGCATGCATGAGTAAAAAGTGATACAAACTAAGTGTTGAGGGAGTCTGGAGGGAGAGAGTCCTCATTCCCACCTTGGGATGAAGTAAGGAAAGACTCTGGAGTTGAATATCCACTTCTCACACCCCCCTCATTCAAATAACCCAGTTTCCCTCAAATCTCTGACAATCATCCTTCTCTACTCCCTTTCCTACCTCCTTCCCTCGCTTGCTCCTTAAACGTACAACTTGTCAAGGGGGTCCATCCTGGCATTGCCTCCTTTCACTGCGTTGGAGTCATCTACTAGATGGGACATTCCAGAAAACCAGCCTCTCCCTGGTCTCCATCACTTCCAGGCCTCGGCTTTTGCTAATTACAGCCCTCCCATTTATAACGGTTTACATATCTTCTTCCCACTGGAACTCTATTCATCTTCTAAGGCTCAGATCAAATGCTGTCTTCTCTGTGAAGTCTTATCTGTTCCTTCAGGTCACTATTAATTGTTTTCAGTTCTGCATCTCCTCACAAATGTACTTGAGTTTCTACTCTACAGCTGTTCTTTCAAGTTAGGTGTAATAACTTACATAAAATCAGCTCTTGCAGAAAGTACAGGGTGCTCTTGGCATTCATTTGTAATATACTCAAATACTCTTGTCACAGTCTGTATTCAGTCCTTGGACCTGATGCTGAAATGTACTCGCTTAACTTGCATGTCTTAAGTTTTGTACTTTGTGCTGTACAGTTCTATGACTTTTCACAAATGCCTGATATGTCATTGTATTTGTATTAACAAGTGTCTTGTAGCCACCATCACCAAAAATTCCCTGTTCTTCACCTGTTCAGCTGTACTCCCTCCCCACATTCCTAGCAATCACTTATCTACCTGCCATCTATAGAGTCTTATATTTTCCCAAATATCATGAAAATGGAATTGCACAGTGTATAGCTGGTGTCTTTTACTTACGCAATCACAATGATGTTTATTTCGGAACCGTCCATGTTCTTGTGTGACTTGATAGTCCATTCCTATTTACTGCTTAATAATATTCCAGCATATTAAAATACTTCTGCTAATCTATTCATCTACCAAAGGACATATTAGTTGTCTCCAGTGTTGCACTTATGAACAAAGCTTCTATAAACATGAGCATGCAGTTAGTTCTCTGGTCTTAAGTTTTCAAATCAGTGGGGCCAATGTATAGGAGCATGATGGCTGGATGACATGTAAAAACTGTGTTCATCTTTGCACAAATTACCTAAATATCTTCCACATAGTCCGTCCCACTTTTCATTCTTATCAGCAATGAGTTTGGGAATTGCTGCACCTTGTACCTCATCACAAGTGGTGCTAGTAGATTCTTAAAAATTATTTTAGTCATTCTAATAACCACTCCAGTATCTCATTGTCTGACATGGCATTTCTCTAATGAAAAAAGATGTCAAGAATATTCTCATGGGCCTCCCCTGCTGGCGCAGGCGGTTGAGCACAGCGCTATGAAGCTGTCCGCAGCCTTTCCAGCACCGTTCGATCCTGGCTGGCCAGCAAGGGTCCCACATGGTGTGGCAGACCGCCCCTGTCTTGCCCTCTGCTGCCCTCAGCAGTGTATTTTGTCAGTGTGCCTGTTCTGATCCCCGGTCTGTCGCTGGTGAATCCTCTCACCCTCCCACACACCTCTGGCCTATACCCTGGTTCTTGTATGAATAAATAAACAAATCTTTAAAAAAAGAATATTTTCATATGCATATTTTCCATCTATCTTTTCTGCTGTGTCTGCATCTTTTGCGCTTTCTTTATTGTGGGTCTGCTACTCCTAGGCAGCCTGTTCGACCACCATTTTGTCACCAATAATTCTAAATCCTAAGCAAGGTCAAAATGGCCCAGTCAGTAAGGTACAGGAGCCCAATCCTTCAAGGTGCCCTTCAAATCAAACAATAGCACAAAGCTGGATCACGCTGGGAAGGTTATGCATCAAGAGGTATGTGTGGAACACCCGGGGGGCTGAGGACCAATGCATAACATGTACTCCCAACTTACACATCACAAGGTATGACCAGGAACGCATTGGGGGCCGATGACTGATGTATGACAAGGGACCCCAGAAGCTGATCAGTGGAACACCTTGTTTATAAGATTAAAACCAGGGTGGGGGATTTAGGGTGTGATTTCAATGACACTACTAAGTCATCAAGCAGGTAAGAACTGCCTGGAGGGCAGACTCACAATCCCTGATCTTCTACACTCTTTCCCTTTCTCCTTCCACTTAATCTCCTTTTGTTCCTCCCCCTTACAACTGATGCTGTGTATGAATAAAAAAGCCAAGATTTTGCTCTTCAGCAGCATCCTGCATTTTGTAGCCTGCTCCACGACTCCCGTTTGTCAGTGTGGTGTTGCCCTACACAACACTTTATTACACTGTTTATTCACTTCTATCGTTAAGTTTTATGGCAATTCTTTTTCTTGGATACAAGTTCTTTATCTATGTGATTTATTAATATTGTCCCAAGTCAGTAACACATTCTTTCCTTCTAACAGTGTCTTTGCAGAGAAGAAGGTTTTAATTAAAATAATCCAACTCTTCATTTTTCCCTTCATGGATCAGACTTTTGGTGTTAATGTCTAAAAACTCACCAAGCCAAAGACCATGTCAATTCTCTCTTTTGTCTTCTACTAGATTTTTATAGTGTTAAATTTTGCATTTAGATACAGTTCTATGATTTATTTTGAACTATTTTTTGTTCAAAAAGGGTCTAGGTCATATTGTGAACATGGACATTTAACTTCTCTGGTACCATTTGTAGAAAAGACTATTTTCTTTCTTTTTTTTTAATTTTATTTATTTATACAAGCACTGGGTACAGTCAGAAGCGCGGGAGGGTGAGAGAATTCACCAGAGCCAG